ATGACTTTTCTGGGACACAAGCTGCGACTTCCCGATGAGGATCTCGGCGCAGAGGATGACGCAAACGCAGCATCGGCACCCGTGCTTGGTGCTATGCCGGCCCTGGACCATGAAGTAGAGGCTTTAGGTGCATTGCTGGAAGAGGGCTCCCTGTTGCGAAGTTTACAAAAGTCGATGCAAGCTTCGTACAAGCTCTACTATAAAACCCGACCTTCTGCTTCACGTGCATCTGTCGCACGGGCAAAGCGGCTGCTTACAGACTGCGGCGGCCCGGCACACCTCCAGGGCCTTGTGCATCCGGCCTTTGCTAATGGTCTGGCGGCTCCCACAGCCAGCCAAGTGAAAGCTTCGACGATGCAGACAAAGGCAGACATGCCGGCCATCTCGTCCGACCTCGCTTATCTGAGGAACCTGCGAGGATACCGTCCCAAAGCCGAGAAGCTGGGCAATGTGCTATCCTTCTCCGCCATGCGGACGATGGAGCAAGAGAAGCTAGATGCTGCAGCCATTGCCTCTAAGGACACCCAGGAAGCGATCCTGGCTGAACCTTCAGCCTCAGCTCCGAAACGCCGACGCGTAGAGACCCAAAAGAAAGTTGCAGCTGCGCCGCAGAAGGCCGTGAAACGGAACCGTCCGCATTTGTCGAAGGCTGCCCGGCGACGCTTGCGTGCCGGGGAGACCGAGGAAACAGAGCTCGGCGATGAAAACTTTGACATCACCGTGAACGACGGGGGCGACGGCGACGGGGACCAAAAAGGGGACGATGGCACAGGAAAAGGAAAGACGCAGCAGTTCTACCTTAGCACCGAGAGAGATTTGACAGAGGAGGCTCGGGAGCGTGGCTACGACATGGAGCAATACCAAATGGACCTTCTGCCTGACGATGCTTCGGACATCAAGAAGGCGAAGAGCGTCATGCGGTGGGATACCAAAAAGAAGAAGTATTTGCCGACCATGGTGTCGGTTGACGGCCGTGCTCTCAAAGGCCAGCGCCGCAATGAGAGCGGGAAGAAGGTGAAAGGCGAGAAGGAGAAGGGCAGCGCCTACCAGAAATGGTCCCAAGCGACGAAACGACGAATCCAGAAGGTGGGGGAGGTTGAGGACCCCTCGATGGCACTGGGCAGGCTGAGAAAGTCTGAGGCGAAGACTGTCGACTTCGATGAGAAAGCAGAGCCCGTGGAGGCAGCAAGCTCCCGAAAGCCTGTAGTACCTTTCCATGGCCGTATCAGTCAAGAGCACTTGACACACAAGCAGAAGCGAGCCCTCAAGAAACGGGCGAGACAAGACTCGGTGGCGGAAGGTGGAGGAGCCTCCGAATTGAAGACAGCTCAACAGATCCAGCAGGACAAGAAGCTGCGGGACCGGCAGAAGCTCAAGCAGAAGCCTTGGCTCCGCAAGCAGCGTGCAAAGCAAGCCAAGGAGACCCGAATGAAGAAGATGGAGGAACGGCAGATGAAGTACGGCGCTCGGACGAAGGCCAAGATGCTGATCATTGAGGGTCCCAAGCGCTGGACGAAACGGCAGCCGAAGCCGCAAAAGGGTTACGGCCGGCGGCAAGATTTCTGAGATCTCTGCCGCATATGCCAGGATTTCCCTTGCTTCAAGGAGAGGTGAAGGGTGACGCCAAAGGCGGCCCGAAAAGCCGGCCGGGAGAGAAAGAGAGTTGTCTTAATGCTAAATGCTGCTTTGTTGGAGTGTATGCCTATACGTCTGTACGCGAGCGCACATACTCTCCCAAAGTGCACGAGTCTTTTATCTGTATACGGTTTTGTATCCATCCTTGATTTCAAAGGTGCATACAATCTATGCCAAACTCACAAAAACTGGATATGTACGACGAGTGTTGCAGCACCTGTACCTTGTTGTCTTGTAGCTTTATATACGGTATAGGTCCAACATGCTTGTTATACAGGTGTATGGGCAATATAAGGGAATGTAGGGTAAATACGTGTGTGTGTATGTCATTGTATCTTTACATATATATATATATATGTGTGTGTTTATGTGTGTGTGTGTGTATGTGTGTTTGTCTGTATGTATGCATTTGTATGCATGTTTTTATGCGTGTATGTATGTGCATGTATGTGAGTCAGAGTCAGAGATTTGGCATGCACGTGTGCGTGTTTGTTTGTTTGTTGGTTTGTTTGTCTGTGTGTCTGTGTTTTTGTGCTTGTGCTTGTCTTGTGCTTGCATTTTTTTGTTTGATTGTTTGTTTGTTTGTTTGTCTGTTTGTCTGTTTGTTTGTTTGCATGTTTGTTTGTTTGTGCTTGTACGTTTGATTGCTTGTTTGTGTGCTTGTGGGGTTTTCCCTTGTTGGTATTATTGTTTGTGTGTTTGCTTGCTGGCTTTCGTGTTTGTTAGCTTGTTTGTGAATTTGTAAATTGTCTTCGTGCTTGTATGTCTCTGCGTTCGTCTGTCTGTCCGGTAGTTTGCTTGCTTGATCTTGCTTGCTTAGCTCTTTGGTTGTTCGTATGCTTATGTCGAATGGTTGTTGGCGCGTTCGTTTGTATGGTATGGTATTCGTTGCGCATGTCCTGTCTGAATGTAGGTCCGCATGCGTGTCTGCGTGCATGTTTGCATGTCTGTCCGTCTGTCTGCGTGCATGCATGGATTGATGGTATGTACGGCAAGCTTGCCGTGCCTGTTCTGCATGCATGCATACAGGTATGTATGCGTGCATGTCTGTATGCCTGTATGTATATGCTTGATCCAGGGCCTGAGCTCGTCCCCGCCCCCCCCCCGCTCCTTTGACATTATCGTTGTATGATTGGACTTGATAAGGGTATGTTTAGTATGTTTGCAACCACTTGTCAGTAGTGTTGTCACTCTTCTTGTGGATGATACGAGGATACTGCTAAGATGCAGATCACGACTCCATGCCAGGCTACCGTTGCCATGTTTGAGATGCGAAATTGCCTCACATGTCAGCAGCATCGGCATTTACGAGAAGAGGTACGCCGACAGGTCCAATCGATCCCCGTGACGTTAGTCACAGAGTGTGGAGGGGGGTGAGGGAGGGAATCCGAGACCCGGCATCATTGCTTGCCTGTATCCGGGGCTTTTATTTGTTGGTCTGTCCCGTCCGAAAGCCTGTGTGGCTGTCCGTCTATCTGTCTGTCTGTCTTTACGCGCAGGTACATCTGTGAGCGCATGTATGCATGGAAATATGTCGGTATTTCTTATGCAGATGTACATAAATGTATGGAACTCGTACGTACGCGTGTGGGTATGTACGCATGTTGTATGCATGCGGGCACGGGCTTGCAAGTCGGTGTGCATGCCTGTATGTACGTTATGTGTGTATGTATATATGCGTGTGTGTAAGTGCAACTGGGTCTGTGAAGATGTGCTGTATCTGTTTGTCCGTCTGTATGTATATGTTGTTTACATGAGTTGTTTTGTATGTGCATCTGCTTTCTGTAGGTCCGTTCGCTCTTCATCTGCATGTGTGAATGCATGTCTGTCCATTTCTCTTTGTGTCTCTCTCTCTCTCTCTTTCTGTCTGTATGTTTCTCTGCTGCCTGTATGTGTGCACGCATGTAAGTAAGCTACATCTGTAGGCTGCCTGCACGTGTGTAGCCTACCTGCTCTGCCTGTGTCGTGCGTGCCTTGCCCACAGCACCATCATCCGAACCGTGATTTATGGCTTGCCAGTGACATATAGTCAGTACATAGATTTTACAGTGGATGGCGTAACGCTTGGGATTATTGGATGTTTGGCAGGGTTTGCGACTCGAGTCACCTAAGTCGAGAAAGAGGTTCCTCGTTTTTACGAGCACCCCCAACGTCGCAAAAGGCATTCACAAGCCCCAGGCATGTCTCCTTGGAGCCAGTATTTGTGTAATTCTACGATGGTTTCAACCCGGGGTTAGGAAACATAAGCTGTCTTGAATCTTGGATGCACAGGCAACGCTCATGACTTGATCAAGCTCCTGCGAGCGGCAGGACAGCAGGTGGCGCTGGTCAAGTCGAGCAAGTTTGACGTCATGAATCAAAATTGTTAGTTTTGCATAGACTCGGCGCGCCTGTACGACCGTGTCATCACTGCTGACATCCTTGAATCTCCCTCTCGAACCGAGTCAATCTCGATCAGTAAGCTGAAACCGGAGCTTTCCGAAGGTGTCGCCGGACCTGGCCAAGCAGCATGACGAGAACAGATGATGGTGCGTGTATGCATCCAACATGCAAGGCGTGCGAGCTTTGTCCATGCCGCTATAAACCTGCACTGCTATGGCAACGTCTTGCCTCGCAACTGCGACTGCCACAGAATCGCAGGTGTCTGGCAAATTACTCCGTCAATTGGGCTAGCCCAGGTTGGACCAGGGACCAGTGGCCTCCAGCGTCAGTCAACGTGCCGGCAAGGGAGGAAAGATCCTACGCCGACTTATTGGGGTGTTACAGCACTTGGAACTCTACATGGCAACTCTTTCGAAGCCCAATGCCTTCGGTGTGAACCATCTTTTTTTGTATGGGACATCGTTACGGCCTAGCTGCAACTGTTCGTATATAGGCCTATAGGCATACAGCATGACCAGAACGAGAGTGAGGAACAGAGAGACAGACAGCGACATGCCATTATGTTCGTATGTATGTACGAAGTATGTATGTACTCCTGTACTCCTGTAATGTAAGTATGTATGTATGCATGTATGTATGTGTGTATGTGTATGTATGTGTGTATGTATGTATGTATGTATGTATGTATGTATGTATGTATGTATGTATGTATGTATGTACGGGTGTAAATTTGATACACACACATGCATACATACATATATATATATATATGTATGTATTATGTGTATATATATATATATGTATTTATGCTTCAATGTGTTAGATAAGTTTATTGCATGTCATGATAAATTATGTTTCATTTTCCGTCACGATTCACTATGTTATTGTACAGTTTTATATCACATGATGTTACGAAATAGTGTTATATCATGCACGCATGGGTGTCCAACTACAATTACAAATGCCCACTTTCCAACATCACCATGACCCTTTCCCTGAAGATCGTCGAAATGTGGCAGCAGCAGGTATGGGACAGTTACAGCAGTTGGCAGATCCTGAAGAATTTCGCTCTACCTTTTCCCACGGAGATCCGAAAGCTGCCCGGTGCCCACCCGTCCCTGTACCTGCCAAGGAAAGGCCCGCGCCTCAAAATTTGATCGGCCGGTGCTGTCGGGCCTTCGGAGACCTCTTCACGGCCTCTTCGTCCGTGCGTGTGTTCGTGTTTCAGCTGAAGCCTGCTCTGACGGAGTTGCGATGGCGAGCCCAAGCCGGGAACGCGTGGTCAGGGTGTCGGGCTATTTCGCAAGCAGACCTTGAAAGATACAGTCAGGAAACTGGTACAAGTAAACCAAACTGTGGATAGAGCGAAACCCGGAAGCTGAAACATGGAAACAGCTGCCTGCGTCTAGAGCCTTAGGCTCCAAAAGCGGCAAGGGCGCCAAATCAGGGCGAGGCTGCCGGACGTGGTTGACAGATTGCGAGGTGTTGAGGTTTGGTGAGAATCCCAGATTTCGGCCCGTGTCGACGGCTTGAGGGAAAGGGCATGAATGTCCTCCGTGGGTTGTGTGAGAGTTTGCAGGGTGGTCCATGCGTTCTGGCAGGGTCGCTTGCATTTTTTAATGGCTCCGGAACCGGCGAAACGTGTACGAGCATAGCAATCCCGGGATTGAAGGGCCAACAAGATGGCAGGACTGCCGGCCGCCACTGAGGCAGCAGGCAGGACCAATAGTTCGGAGTAGCACAACTGGCGAGAGGCTGCTGCAGACTTCACCCACAAATATGCCAGGTCCGTCGAACGACAAGGGTGTGAGGATAGAAGGAGCGCAAGACGAGGTCCAGCCAATCACCAGATTCCAGGACTTTCGTTGAATTTGCAAGTCTTGCGTCCGGCTCTCACCGGTTTGGAACAGTAACTTGCTGGAAAAAGGGCGTTCCGCTGCTATGAATGGGAACGCTCGTTGCAGAGCACCTGTGGTCCTGTGGCTGATTGTCGCACAAGATCCAGCTGCAGTTGTCGTGCCATCACTGGCCAGATGTGGGCAAAAAACATTCTAGGGGAAGGGCTGGGGAAGGGTATGTGACTGGTATCACTCTGTGCGCGTATAGATCTTTGCAGAGCACTTTGCCGCCCAGACCCGTCTTGTGGTTAAAACTTCCAAACGGAGTTTCCCCCAAAAGCCCACAGCACTAATCCCTGAGCAGGACTCTCCTTTTCGAAAGGTCATCCGCAACTCGGCTGTGGTGCTGGGTTCCTCTTGCTGGACATTCGGTATCGCAGTCTTCGTGCGTTGCCGCAGATGTATGTTTTGCCAACTTGGCTTTCGGGCTCGGTGGGGGAGGAGGGGGGCAAGGGGCTCACCGAGAACACTGGTTAGGAAAAGAGCTCCTGGCGGCGGGCTACACGGAGCCGACACCCATCCAGGACCTGGAGGCCTCCACGGTGAAGTGTGCGGATGTCTGTCACGTGCAGGCCTATGGGTGGCCTTTGCTACTTAGTGGCCGCGATTGCATTGCCATCGCAAAGCCCCTTGGCCCGTGACGGCGGGGTGGCTGCAAGCAGCAGAAACTGTTGGACATGGCATTGGCTTCAAGTCACAGTGTCAACCTAGATAGAGTTTAAATTCCGATTGTTTTTTCCAAGGACAGTGTCCAAAGTTTAGATAGCCGCAACGATCACGAGTCTTGAGCCACGATGTTGGCACCATGGCAGTCAGGACTGGCTCGGGGAAGACTTTGGCGTTCCTGCCTCCCGACTCATGTCACTGCCGTGATCACAATCGGAAATTGATGAAGCCAGCTATCTTGGCATCTTGGTGATTGGTAGAGATGCTTCGATGCATGGCTCGAGGCTGGCCTGTCTCTTTCGAATTCAAGTAGACACGGACCAACAGATCGTTTTAGAAAACTGAGGCTGCCAGCACTTCACAACATCTACAGTTGGCTGCAGGCCTTGGCACCGATTGGGGCCGACACTTATTAAGGAAGCACGGTGGCGGGGTATGGCTCAATTGACACGAGCAGAGCAAGCACACATGTGCCACGGGTCAATGTTCAAGAGATTTCAACATATTCGGAGTGCTGTGTTCCCAACTTTTTTCGAACGACTAAGCTATACACACTTGGATATATCTACAGGCAGCACGTCCTCGTTATATAAGCTTGCGGCAGCTGATCAAACATGCTTCATCATGCTTCGTAGCTTTGTGTGGTTATAAGTTATGTTGGGGTGAGAGGTGCTGACACACCTGTCCTGAGTCTAAGCATGCCGCATTGCCATGCCAAGCATGGCTTCTTACATGTTTGCTACAGACACCACCGCCTTGTGGCGACATCCAGTTTGCCTCAGGAAGAGGGCCCAGGTGCTGACGGTGCTGGCCCTCTTGCATTGGTCGCCGCGGGCTTTGTGCTGCTGTTTTCATCAAATGTTGTGAGCACGATTCTGCGTATGTCGAAATTTTCAATGTCGCCTACATAGGTTACAAGCGCCGATGTGGAAGCAATGCCTTCCTCCCTCCCTCTCTCGAAAGATGTGGTCAGCTTATATATGTCTACATATATACATATCTATACAAATATATATATATATACATATATATATATTCATATTTATATTTATGTTTGTATGTATACACGCCCACATACACATAGGATGGTGAAGCACCTCCCAAATCGTGCATCGTGGAATGTCGAGATTTTTTTTACCAGGCCCATGTGGCAACTTGGAAAGCTCCATGCTGCTGTATCATGCTGATAGGCGGCATTTCGATTTTATATCTCGCAAAGGCTACACTGGCATGTAAGGTCGCGCCGACCCGCGAGCTCGCCGCGCAGATCCACCGCGAGGCTGGCGAGTTCAATCAGTTCAATCGGTCAGGCTGCCAGAGCTGCAAAAGTATTGCAAGTAAAGTGAGGTGTTGGTGTCCGGCATCCGCCCCGTTGCAGAAGCATTTTAATAGCGGCGAGACTGCAGGCCGAGAGCGCAAGAGAATTCGGAACCCTTGTGCAGAAAACCTTTCAGTTGTTCGCTGGCGGTGTCACGCCTAGAAAAACAGTCGGACAAGTTTACTTGTTCTCGAACTTCGTGGTTTTGACCAGAACCTCACTTACTTTTGCAAGTGCTTATTGACTGCCACGCTTGCCCGTGCATGTAGGCAGAACGATTCGCCCGCGGCTGCCGCGCACCTCGGAGCAACATGAGCCTCAGCGCATAGCCTGGCAAAAGACGCCATGTACATATCTGTACACATGTATGCACGTGTATGAATATAAATATGATATATATATATATATATATGTATATAGCTCTGCATAGACGGACAACATACTGTGGATCTGTCGCGTTTTGCATTATTTCGCAGCTGCACGTTCCACATCTTGGAAGCCGCTGGTATGGCAAGCTCAAGTTTGCACAGCAGCGATTCCACCTGGCGAGGCCGGCTGTGTGCATGGCGGAACCGCATGGGAGCCCCAAGCCGCCCTCCTGGAGGCGTCGGGAACTCCTAAAGGCCTTATCCGAAGTACGTGGCACCCGGGTCGTTGTTTCGATTTTCAAAATCCGTTGATGTTTGTGAGGACAAGCTCCATACTGGTCCATACCATGTGCAGCTGACACTCGACAATTTGTCATTCCATTCGCGTCTACTGTAGAGTAAGCAGCTGCGCTTCAGGCGTTGTGGGGGCTTCAGTACTATGCGAGCGTTGTTGTGCCTGCGTAGTCATGTTACGCAAGTCGGCCCGACAGCTACGTGATGCCCTTCTTCGCGAGGAGACGGATCGCACCCTTCGCTGCGCTAGCTAAACGGGTATCGAAGAACTCGTTCAGTCGCAGATTGTACCAGGCCTTGTTCATTTGATATTTTGCAGCCGCTGATCGATCAGTGTTATGAGGCCGGCTTGGAGCTTTTGGTCGCAACCCCTGGACGGCCGCTTTGCTGAAGTGTTCAGAACAAGACAGTCGACCACAGCGATGTGTTCATTGGCGCCAGACTTATGTTCCATCTAATATTATTGCTCGCATCGAAGCAAACTGTAGCAAGGGGCCTCATGCCTTCGTATCAGTGACGACGCAGTCAGGTTGAAATGGTTGCTGTCCTAGTCTTGAGTCTTGATCTCAAGGGCAAAATGAGACATCTGCATGATTCGTCGGCCATCACCAGAAGCACGACTTATAGTACTAGCAATAGTAGTTTTAGATGCAGCAGCAGTAATTGTTGTTGTTGTTGTTGT